AAATTTCAGTATGAACTTGAACTTGAACCTGATGAAGAAGCCCTTGCTTGTCCTTCGGAAGGAAGGCTGGGGTGGCTTATCCTTCAGAGGATGCCTCAATGGATGGAGCTTCCTTTGGACACATCCTGGAGGACGCTGGTTCCTTCTGTGGCTCTGCCACTACTTCTGATGTGTGGGTGGAAGAAAAGGACACCCTTGGGAGTCTGGGCTGGGGACACACCCCAGCTTCCCAATGGGGCATGGCCCTGAGGCCCTGGTGAGCCATAATGCGTGGATCTCTATGCAGGCATGGCTTTGTCAGGGAGACTGGGGTGTTGGAAGGGTGCAGAACCCTTAGAGCCCTTGACCTTGGCAGGGTCAGGCTGTCTTTGCCCTTTTGCATAGAGGCCTGGCCGGGGCTTGCTCCCTCCCGGAGCAGACAATTCCTGCGTTGATTTGTGCTGGAGGCTAGGTGGTCTCTTCCCCTCCTTGGCTTTGCCACTGCCCTTCCGCCCTACACTTGGTCCTCCTCAGGTGGCTTATGTTCTGTGTTGTCCCTCTGAGTATTGTTAGAATGGGAATTAGTGGAAGGGGCTGCCAGCTTGCTGACACCTCACTGCTGTGTGTTAGCAGAAACTTTGGGTGGATCCTTGGTGGGCTGCTGTTGATTAGATTCACCAAAGTCTGGGGTTTCGGGGAGATGATGTGGCCCTCCTGCTCAGCTCTCTTGTACCTCAGAAGCAGATAGATGGCCATCACTTGGTTGTACTTCCAGCCGTCAGTGAGCCTTGGACTTCTTGCCTTTTGTCACACTGGACGCCACCATCAGGGTTCCTGGGAGTCAAGAGAGTAGCTCTACGTAAGGTTTGGTTCATCTTCACGACCTCTGTTTATCCATGGATCTTTCCTGATGAGCTCTAAAGTGCCTTTCTTGCTGGGATTGAGAATGAGAAATTTCTTGAGCAGTTTTTCACATTTCCTGGACATGTGAAAGGGCATATGGTCTATTCCATTAAGTACTGATTCCTGCAGCTCCTTGAAGGCAGGAGTCCATCAAAAGGTAAGGGGTTTGCAGACCAGTGTATATAGGATGATCCTCAGATTACACACGTCTACTGTGGGTCTATCTTATTTGGACTTGGAAGACTTCCAGGGTAGCCTAAAGGGGGACAGCCAATGAAGATATCTAGTTTGTTGCCAAAGGTGAATGTAACGCCAAAGCCATAGTCTTCAAAGTTTTTTTCATATCAGCATCCAAAAGCAGGCGCTCTGCCTTTAACTCTATGAGCAATGCACTTCTGGTGACAGTATATCACTGATGGAATTTGCCAGAACCTCTTTTTCTTATGGATTTCCATGAGCCACCAGGTCCTCAAATATGTCTCTTCCATTGAGTAATTCCTCAAGGAAGTCAGAATGGATCACTACAAATAACTGTTTGGGGAGGACTCAAGTCTTTCATAGTTCTTACTCAAGGGACCGTCTCTGGAGTCCGGAGGAGTTTGGCTAAGTCTTGTCAATGATCTTCATGACTGCCTCTTTCCTAAGTCAGGATGTACTGAGCCAGCTTTAGCCTTGTCTTGTTGCCCGTGGCAATGGTCTTGACTGTCAGTGATTGTCAATATGGAGGTCATCCTCAACAGAGATGTCTGAGAGGCTAGGAGCGTGTTGGACTTCCTGCTGACCTGGGAGTCATGGTGTCTCAAGGTCAACTTAAAATTGAGGAAAGTTGGTCAGGAACTTGACCCAAATCACCTCAAAAGAAAATCACTTCCCGACGTCCTCTGATGAACTGATCTTTATAATGGAACCAAAACATAATGCCAGATGTGCCAATAAATAAAACCAAATACTGAAAAATCTAAATAAGAGAAAACAAAGTTTTAAAAAGGAAAAAAAATGAGAAAAAGAAAAAAGTAAAGATGAAAATGAAGAAAAGAGTTTTTAAAAACTGAAGGAAAAAAGAACGAAGAAAAATGGGGACGTGAAAGTAACAATTAGTAACAGCCAAAAACCCTGTGTCTACAAGAAACATTGGTGAGAGTTCTGGTCACTGAAAACCAGTTTCTTGAGCTAGAAGAACCGAAAAGTGGCCCAGCCAGGGAGTTAGAGAATTGAAATTTTATAATGATGGTCTCTTGTGAGACTGTACCAAGAAATGGGCCCATTTTCTCATTTTGGGGACTCTAGATCACTTTATTCTTTTGAATAAATTATTTAGGATCCCCTGAGGGTTTTTTGATTAATGGGTTATAGTTATAAACATTTACCTTAGTAGAAACTAAATCCTGTAGGCTTTTCATTTTCAGTGGCTTTTTCATCTCTAGCTTAAAAAGTTGTGATAATGTTTGGCTTAGAAGAGCTCATATTGGCTACACACACAAAAAAAGTTATATATGAAGCAAACTGCATTTTCCAAAGATTTTCTTTTACACATAGACTAAAATTTGCTACCCATTTCATTTTTTTCCTACTTTGTTACATTTTCTATGGTGAGATTCACCTTATTATTTTACTAGTCACTAATCAGAAATATAAGCTTTTTCCATAAATCTAAGTGGTTTTAAATATTACATTAACAATTACGATATGGTTCTCCATTTCTGATATCTGGTTTTGTGTGATTGGCTGAATTTGCTCAAGGTCTGATTGGCCTAAACAGCTGTTGATTATGAATATTCACAAGGAAGGAAGTGAAAAGACTCATACTTGTGTTATTTATTTGAAATAAGTCTATTAGTGCTACCAAATTCATTATAAACTGGTCCATGGGAAGAAAATAAAAACAGGACTTTTAGTACCTTCTGACTAATCAATGAGGTCAAGTTACTTCTAAACTAGTAAAGTTATAAAGTCAGTGATGTCCTAACACTGAACTGGTGATTATGTCAGGTGACTATGTCACAGGTTAGGTACAGGTGACTATGTCACAACTTTAGATAAATAATTTTCTACAACAAACATCTTAATAAATATAACTTCCCTGAAACCACAGACAACTAATACCATTTCCCAAAGCAAACAACTAAGTAAGCATAGCCAGGAAGATCACATTTCACATTATTTTAAAATTAATATGTTTGAAAACTCCTTGCAAAAAATTAACCAGAATGATTTCACTGTAACTAGCTTCAGAAAAAGACTGTGTCTGACAGGAGGCATTTTTACTTTTTTTGGTTTAACATTTATTATTATTTTGGGCTTCCCTGGTAGCTCAGATGGTAAAGAATCTGCCTGCAATGCAGGAGACATGGGTTCGATCCCTTGGTTGGGAAGATCTCCTGGAGAAGGGAATGGCTACCCACTCCAGTATTCTTGCCTGGAAAATTCCGTGGACAGAAGAGCCTGGCAGGCTATACAGTCCATGGGGTCCCAAAGGGTTGGACATGACTGTTACTTTAAAAGAGTTTTCAAAGTAAAGGTTCATAAATACCTTCCAGCTTTTACCCAGTTTAACAAGATGTAATGGCTAGCTCAGGGCTTTATCTTCTCAAGGTACCACTGCCAACAACCTCTCATGAGTTTAATATTCCTCTTTAAACTTGTGTCATTTTTAGGCTTGGTTTCAATGATAATACATAGACAGGGCTGAATTAAATTATAATGGCTCATCATTTTGTTTCCACCCTGATCATTTGGTTGTTGAATTGCATGTGTTTTATGTATTAGTGTCCAATTAACGTATTCTGCAACTGAACTCCACTAAACAAAATGTCTCCCTACTGGAGATATTAATGTGTTGCTTCCCCACCTAGCAGCCATTTCCCCCTTCATTTTTGTCAATGATCCTACTTTCATTTGGTTATGGAGCCATATTATGCACCATCTCCAAGAGAAGACTCATAACTGGTCTCAGCGAGTCTCGTTTGACTCACTCACCCCCGCCAGGGACTGGTTTCGGTGGGGGCGTGTGACTGATACTGTCCAATGAGCCACAGAATGAAGTCTGTTAGGGCTTCTTAAGAAGATTTTTCTTTCTGATAGAAAGAAATGCACGAGGGAAACTTCTGCTTCCTGCCACATGGTTGTGTGGATTGTGATGATCAGAGCTGTCACCACTAAACTGTGAGCTTGAGAGGACAAGCTTGAGGGCCAATGCCAAGAGTCAAAGGATGGCAAAGGGGAAGGACAGAAAGTCCTTGGGATTTTGAGGAGATGTTGTGTAAGCCAATGAGCCAGTCTTGGAAAAGATCCAGACTTACAACCACTGACTAACCACTTTCAGTAGGAGGCTTTGTTAACTGCATACTGAAAAGGTCATTGATTTTGTAGCTCATCACGAAAGTTATTCTAGTCACTGATTTTAAAATAACATTACCGTTTATATAACAATTGTTATGTATGATACAGTAACCATCATACTGTGATGGTTAATTTTATGTGTCAACTTGACTGGCCTAATTAAACATTATTTCATTATTTCTGGGTGTATCTGTGGGGGTTCTTTGAATCAGGTATCCAAAATATTAAAGTTGACTCATTGGAAAAGATCCTGGGAAAGATTGAAGACAAGAGGAGAAGAAGAGGGCAGAGGATAAGGTGGTTAGATAGCATCACTGATTTAATGGACATGAATTTGAGCAAACTCCAGGAGATAGTGAAGGACAGGGAAACCTGCAGTCCATAGAGTCACAAAGAGTTGGACACAACTTAGCAACTGAACAACAAGAACTGTGGAGGTGCTTCTGGAAAAGATTAGCAGTTGAATCAGTGGACTCAGTAAAATATTGGGTTGGCCAAAAAGTTTCTTTGGGTTTTTCCATAACAACTTATGGGAAAAAACTTGAATGAACTTTTTGGCCCACCCAAAAGATCCCCCCTCCCCAGTGGAGGTGAGCACCATCCAATCCACGAACAGGGTTTGCATGCTCAGTCATGTCTGGCTCTTTGTGAGCCCATGGACTGCAGCCTGCCAATCTTCACTATTCATGAAGGGCCTGAATGAAACAAAAGTCAGAGGAAGCAGGAATTGCCCCTCTGGTTTCTTGCTACCCTGATTGAGCTGGGACATCCCATCTTACCTTCTCCTGTCCTTGGAATGAGATTTTTAAACTGTCAGCTCCCATGATTATCAGGCCGTTGGGTTTAGACTGAATCGACATCACTAGCTTTCCAGGTTTCCAGCTTGCAGACAGCAGACTGTGGGACTTCTCAGGCTCCATAACTCACATCTGTATCTCCACTGGTTCTACTTCTCTGGAGAACTACAAGCACACACACACAGAGCAAAGATGAGGATGCCACAGAGGGAAAGAAGAGTCTGCTGCTCAACTCTCCTACATTCTTCTATTGACAAACTTTTCAGCTGTAACTTTCTTTCAACAAAAAATTGTGGTTAATGACAAAACTTATTGTCAGGTCTCTTAAATGACTCTTATATCATGGCAAGCATATAAACCTAACTGTAGCCCAATTCTAGAATGAATATAAAAAGAACACTTTGTTATTCAAAGACCAAATTGAGTTCACAGGGTAAAACAACAGAGGAACAGCTATTATTAAAAAGTAAACTGATTGGTATAAGATACTAAATATATGTTAAAGTGATAACTTGAAAACTATGTTTGGGAAATATAGGGGAAATGTTATATGAAAAGAAAATCAGAACATAAAATTTATATTATTTTAATAATGTAAGTGCACACTTAAATGTGAAACAAATTAGAAGGAAACACTGAAAGGAAATGAGTTTTGAGGTTATTGGGTCATGGGAAAATTTTTTTAAAAACTCTTTTGTTACAGTGTTTGTATGACACAAATGGGAGAGAAATTACCTTCAAAATGTAGTCATTCATTTTAGCAACATTCTTGTGGAAATTTTATTGCTTAGTCTTCGGACAGAACAAGGCACTAAAATCATAGAGGCTTAATTTTTCTTAACCTATTATCTCTGAATTCAGGTTGCTACTGGATCCATCAGTTCTATTTATGAAGCACTCTGCATGTATCAGGCACTATGCTAAGCATTTTAAGTAGATTATTTCTTTTAATCCTCACAACAGGTACTATTTTTATCACTTCATAGACAGGGTTAATTAGTTTGCTTTAGAGTCATGTGATGATGAGGTTAAGATCTTGACCTTAGCTGGTTTTGATCCAGAGACATGTATATAGTGGCTGGAACTCTTCATAGAGTAAATATAAACTGAAATGATACTCAAGCTATAAATCTGAAAATTTAGGGGGACAAAAACTTACACATATTTCCTTCCCATTACTTTAGCATTTCAATCTGATGTGTTTCTGTCATACAGTTTAAAAACTAGATCTGAGACTTTATTATTGTTTAGGCTTAAAATATTTATTGGAATACTTTTTTAAAAGACTCATAATACTTCATTCTTTTAAAATTATATTTACCTTCCACTTTGATTGAATAATTTCTCATCTTTTTATCCAAAAATTTCTACTGAGAATTTTAAAACTTCTATTTGGCGGCACTACTTAACATGTGATTTATCCTCATCATTATTTAATCTTTGAAATGATACTTTATAATTTTTAAATCAGTGAGTTCATTGAAGGTTTGAGAGCCACTCTGTAGGACTAAGTCATTAACCTGCAATTTTACAGTAGATAAAGTACTGTTTTCATTACTTTGAAAAAAAAATAATAACCTTGTGATTGGCTCTTACATTTAACATTTTAATCTCAGCTTGCCACCATTAAATATAACTGATTTCATTGACCACATAAGAAGCCAGGAAAAAATCACTGCGTCACAAGTTAAGCTAATTCAATTTAAATTTAACAAAGACAGTCATAATCAGCAATTTACCAAATCAAAAGCCAGGGTTAAGTTACATTCAAAGCTAGCAATTTGGGGGACTTCCCTAGTGGTCCAGTGGTTAAGACTCCAGCTTCTAACGCAAGGCATGCAGGTTCAGTCCCTGGCAAGGGAACCAAGATCTCTCACGCTGTGCTGTGTGGCTCAGCCAAAGAGGAATAAAGAAGTTTATTAATGTTTTTCAAGGGTTGAATGGTTTATGAAGCTTATAACCTAACACAGTATTGAGTCTACAAACAGGTCTTGTTTCACATGACCTGCCTTAGGGTCTAGTGTCACAGCTTTTACCATTGGTAGTAGAAAGTCTAGCTGCCACCGAAGATTTTAAGTATTATATTAAAAAATCATGAGACATGAACTTCTTGCCTTCCAGTACCCAAAACACCCATCTTGTTTCTAGTGAATAAGGCGACAGACATGATAGAAACAGGTTAGAGCTGAATCAGGACATTCAGTGACATTTCAAGAATAGAGGGATTCTGTTGGGCAATGAGAGGTTGCTGCTAAAAATTGTGATCTGAGATTGCTTTACAACGGCATGTTTATAATTCATCGTGATGATCTGTTACTATTCATTTTACGAAACAAAAGCCTGTTACACTCAAATTCCTAACTTGGTTTTTTTAAATTTTTCTAATTAACAACAACAACAAATCACACTATACTTTACCCCGCGTAACCTGCAATACTCTGACCACACGCACAGCTCCTTGTTTTGTTTACTTTACGGCCAGTCGGGTACTATGTAGGTGATGAAAATGAAGCTATACAGACCAAAGATGCGAAACAAAATGAGCGGTGAAGCGATTGAGCAAAAGAGGAAGATATTTAGAAGAGGAATAAAAGTGCTAAGTTAGACTGGAAAAGGAAAAGAAAGGGTGTGAGGAGGGAGGAGGCTTATTAGGTCAGAAGCAAACTATGGTCTCGGTCTTGACAAGAGTAAGTCAACAGATTCAGATCCCTGATCTTGAAAATGTTCTTCAGCTGTCTTAAAATTGTCTGACTTCCCAGCGACTCCATTCGTAACCATTCAAGCCTCCATTGGCTGGAGTAGTCACAGTGTTTGGAGTTCTCTGAACTGCTGTCACAGAATTCAAGATAGCCTTTATTCGCCTCTTTACGGAGGCTTAAGATCGTCTACATCGTTGCTTGGAAGTGCATGGTTTCCTCACCACCCCCCCGTCTCCCCTTTATCTTTATTTATTTCCACATTTCCAGGGATTCGGCAGAGACTCAGTGAAGGGGGCACTGGTTTAGCGTCTCTTTGGCAAGCCGAAAACAGAAAAGAGAGAGGGGCTCAGACTACCAGGCGCTGAAAGGCAGAAATTGGGTTAGAAACGAACGGCGACTGGAGAGAGAACTAGCCTTTGGAGTCTAACGGGTACATTGGTCCCCAGGACAGACAGCGGAGAGCTGGCCGCCCGTTACCAGGCAACTGGCGATCTCGCGAGACACACCTTGCGCCTGCGCACTGCCGCTGGAGGGCCTTTCCCAGCGCCTCCGCCCAGCTCCTAAACTCCCTGAACTCTGTTGCGACGCCCTGGGCCGACTCTCCGGTTTGGGAGTGGTCGGATGCAGAAGAATGAAAAATGTTTTCTGAGCGGTTCCATCCCCTGCCCCACCGCATTGGAAGGTAAAGGCCGGGCAAGGAGTGAGCTCTGCGCACGCGCAGCGCCGCCACGTGGAGCCGGCGCCGGGGCAGACGTGAGTGGAGGGCTCTGCGCTGGGATGTGGGATCCGGAGGGGTAGCTCTGGTTGGGATCGAACCGGCTACTAGGCCAGGCGCGCGCAAAGTTGTCTAGGCTCCCCGTCCCTAGGGCTTCCCCGCCCCGGCGTGTTTTCCTGCGTCCCGACCCGGGCTCAGGCTCTGCTCTGTTTGGAGTTAAGCGTCTTTTGGATAAGAGAAGCAATCAGACAAAGCCCCACCCGGCCCTTCTGTTCTCCGCAGCCTAGAAGTGGAGGCCGACAAGAAAGTAACTCCAGTCGTGTGTGCCGAATAGTAGGTCGGCACTAGATAGACGGCAGACCAGAGAGAGATGTCCTCGGGGATCGATTACCAGATCCGGAAACTGAGTCCTCCCTGCTTTACTCCCAGCTGATCACTAAGTCGGGTGGATTGTACCTCCTGTTTCAACTAGCATGTGTTTCCGTCCATCGGCAACTCTGGTGAAGGTCACTGTCATGTCTGCCCAGGACTATTCCGACTCTCCTCTTTGCTGCTTTCAGTCTTGGTAAAGATTCCTCCTGGCTCGAGTCCACCAAGGTCTTTGTATGACGTCTTTGTAGCTGTGCCGTTCCTCTGCTTTGAACGTGACAGCCGCTCCCACTGTAAGGGTTGCAGGCGTCTTCACCATCTGGTCCTTCCCTTTCTCAGTATTTCTCTACTCTCACACCATGCCCTAGCGACATTGACATTATCTCCATTCATGCAGTTCCCTGGGATGCTCTTCCCGAATAGGTACTCCTTTTGGTGGGGATTCTTTAGATGTGGGTTAAAAGGTCACTTCCAAGGTGGTTCAGTGGCTGACACTCCTGTTCTCCCAACGCATGAGACCCCTGTTGGAATCCTGCTCAAAGAACTAGATCCTATATGCTGCAACTAAGACCCAGTGCAGTCAGATGAATAAATTTGTCACCTGCTCGAGGCCCTTCCTGACCCCCTTAACTTTGTCAGGCCTCGGGGCCCTGACCTTGAAGTGCATCACATGCTTTGCTGATGAGTCTCTCTCATAGACATTAGGCCCAGTGAGTTCAGTAGCTGTTTTTAATTCATAATCTTTCTGTCTTGGTGCAGTGTGTATAATCCACAAATACTTGTTCAAGTAAGACAGGTGGTGGGGGTGCTGGGGGGAGGCTCATTTTCCAGGCAGAGGGAATCGGGTATAAGGCCATGGACGGCTGGACTGGTGGCCTCGGTAAATAGTAAGTGGTTCAGTGGTGGGACATAAGGATAAAGGCTGATGGGGAGATGGGAACCCTTGTATGTCACCTTAATAAGTTTCCACTTGATCTTTGGGGCAGTAGAAGCCTCCAGAGGCACCTCAGCAGGCCCTTCCTAATTTTTTCCTTCTCCAATGCTGTTACTTGTTCCCATTTTGGTTCTGGATTATATCCCATGAGATTCTACTTATCTGGCTCTGGTCTCCCCCTCTAGATTCTGAAGACAGGAGGAGCTAATGCCCAGAGCTTCTAACTGTAAGTACCAACTTCCTGTTGTTTGGGGGGGATTTTGGTCATGCAGCTTGTGGGATCTTAGTTCCCCAGCCAGGTATCAAACCTTTGCCCCCTGCAGTGAAAGCACAAAGTCTTAATCACTGGACTGCTGGGGATGTCCCTTCCTGTTGTTTGAATTCGGAGGCACGTGAACTGTAGCTTGTGTGCAGCGAAAGCTCCGTTAGATCACCGTATTTGCTACATGGTCACTGAATTCCCTCTTCCTGACCACCTTCAACCTGGTGCCAGCCTCTTCCAGTCACGTCACTGGATTTGGATGAGCAGCCTCCAGCTTGCAGAGCTGGAGGGGAAGAGCCGACTCCAATGACTGGCATGCGCAGGGCTGCTCTGGAAGGAAGTTTAGGAGACAGACACTGAGTCTCAGCAGTGAGCACCACTGACAGGAACAGTTCAGTTCAGTCGCTCAGTCATGTCTGACTCTTTGTGATCCCATGGACTGCAGCACACCAGGCCTCCCTGTCCATTGCCAACTACCAGTTTACTCAAACTTGTGTCCATTGAGTCAGTGATGCCATCCAACCATCTCATCCTCTGTCATCCCCTTCTCCTCCTGCCTTCAATCTTTCCCAGCATCCGGGTCTTTTCCAGTGAGTCAGTGCTTTGCATCAGGTGGCCAAAGTATTGGAGTTTCAGCTTCAACATCAGTTCTTCCAATGAATATTGAGGACTGATTTCCTTTAGGATGGACTGGTTGGATCTCCTTGCAGTTCAAGGGACTCTCAAGTCTTCTCCAACACCACAGTTCAAAAACATCAATTCTTCAGTGCTCAGCTTTATAGTCCAACTCTCACATCCATCCATGACTATTGGAAAAACCATAGCTTTGACTATACAGACCTTTGTTGGCAAAGTAATGTCTTTGCTTTTTAATATGCTGTCTAGGTTGATCATAGTATTTCTTCCATGGAGCAAGTGTCTTTTAATTTCATGGCTGCAGTCACCATCTGCAGTGATTTTGGAGACCAAAAAAATAGTCTGTCACTGTTTCCACTGTTGCCCTATCTATTTGCCATGAAGTGATGGAACCGGATGCCATGCGCTTAGTTTTCTGAATGTTGAGTTTTAAGCCAACTTTATCACTCTCCTCTTTCACTTTCATCAAGAGGCTCTTTAGTTTTTCTTCACTTTCTGCCATAAGGGTGGTGTCATCTGCATATCTGAGGTTATTGATATTTCTCCCGGCAATCTTGATTCCAGCTTGTGCTTCTTCCAGCCCAGCGTTTCTCATGATGTACTCTGCATATAAGTTAAATAAGCAGGGTGACAATATACAGCCTTGACGTACTCCTTTGCCTATTTGGAACCAGTCTGTTGTTCCATGTCCAGTTCTAACTGTTGCTTCCTGACCTGCATATAGGTTTCTCAAGAGGCAGGTCAGGTGGTCTGGTATTCCCATCTCTTGAAGAATTTTCCAGAGTTTGTTGTGATCCACACAGGCAAAGGCTTTGGCATAGTCAATAAAGCAGAAGTAGATATTATTCTGGAACTCTCTTGCTTTTTCAATGGTCCAGTGGATGTTGGCAATTTGATCTCTGGTTCCTCTGCCTTTTCTAAACCTAGCTTGAACATCTTGGAAGTTCATGGTTCACGTGCTGACAGGAACTAGGTAGGAGCTTTCACTCCAGGGAGCTGAGTTTTGGTTTTCTGTGAGGTGACATGGGAGGAGCTTCAGAGGCCGGCAGAGGTCAGGAGACCGTGTCTGAGGGATGTAGGTGTGGAAAGGTGCCCTCCTGCAGCAGTGGTTCCCGATCCCAGCTCTCTATCAGTCACCTGGGCAGCCTTCTGACAAGTAAAGGAGCCCTGCCGTATTCTCAGGGACTTCGATTCAGCAGACCTAGGGAGAAGGCAGTGGCAACCCACCACAGTACTCTTGCCTGGAAAATCCAATGGACGGAGGAGCCTGGTAGGCTGCCGTCCAATGGGGTCGCTAAGAGTCGGACATGACTAAGCGACTTCACTTTCACTTTTCACTTTCATGCATTGGAGAAGGAAATGGCAACCCACTCCAGTGTTCTTGTCTGGAGAATCCCAGGGACGGGGGAGCCTGGTGGGCTGCCATCTATGGGGTCGCACAGAGTCGGACACGACTGAAGGGACTTAGCAGCAGCAGACCTAGGGTAAGGACCAACAATCTATATACTTTAAAAAGTCACAGCTTATTTTTGAGATGCAGCCAGGATTGAAAGAGCACAGAATTTGGATTTAGGAAACCAGCTGTGACTCTGGCAGGGTATTTAACCTGAGTCTGTTTCCTCTCCCACTCATGGAATTTTGTGAGAATCAAATATTTCTTGGAGAAAGTGCCTTACTTGTTCTGACATCCTTCTCAGCATTGGCAGCCAGGCTCTTAAGGTGTTTATTGGAGGGGATATTCATCCTTAATCTTGCCTGGGCCACTTGGGGGTGGAGGGGCATCTGTGGGATGAATGACCTGGCATGAGGAGAAATCTGGAATTAGAAAATTTGTTTACCTGAAAACAAGGACAGTCCCAAACTCCAGACTTCTCCAGAGCTAGCTCATTTACCTTCTTTCAGTTTTGCAACATGGGTCCCTATGGTTCCCAGGTGAGCCCAGGAAGTGAGGAAGAATACAGAAGAGAGGAACATGCAGTTGCCTCTGGATGGGATTATCAGGACATGCTCCCGAGAACAGTGATCTGTAACATTTTGCCAGCAATCATCCCTCTGTTTTGCCTTAACAGATTAGTATCTTTAAATTTCATTACAAAATTCCCATTATTTTCATCACACTGTCAGCCAGAGGAACAGCCTGCTTGCACTTACCAGAGGAAGGGGGAATCTGTGTATCTGTGTTTTAGGAAGGACAGACAAGGAACTTAGGGTCCAGGGAGGGGAGGAGGACTTACAAAAGGGCACAGAATGAATCATTCAGATTTTCAGCCATGTGCACATATTATGGCCCCAGGTCTTCAAAAATCACACCTGTTTAATGGCAGAGGCTCCCAGGGCCCTCAGAGATTCTGTGCTGAGGGCAGAGGGGTTTGGGGACTCACAGAGGTGGTCATGGGAACTTGTTCAAGGCTGAACCCCAGTGCCATGACTCTTGAGTAGAGGTGCTCAGTGAGTATCTGCTGAACGGATAAATAGAAGCCTAAGTGGAAAGCAATTTAGAAAATGGTCAGAGATGTATCAGACTAATACCAGAGGTCCTGAAGAAGATAAATAATTACAATAAGCAACATTGGAACATTTTCAATAAAGGAAACATAGAATTTCACTGTGATTACAGTTAAGGCAAAACATTCATAAATTGCCTGTATATGAATGAAGACTAAGTCAGAAAAAAATGGGGAAAATAAATGACTTAAAAGAGAGATTAGGTGTATGGTCACATATATATATATATATAAAATTATTTACATAAATATAATTATTTATGTACATATATACATGTAAGTATATACATGTCTTATGTAAGTAGGCTTGCTCTAGCCTTTCAAAAATCAGAAAGAGCACAACCAAGATATCCTTAAGACGTGCATGTCTAGTTAACACGAATTTCCCTTTGCTGTTTGCTCCCCTGTGAAGGATTTTTCAGTATGGCTGCAGCCCCACAAGCACCAGGGCGGGGCTCCGTGCGGAAGACGAGACCTCTGCCTGTGAAAACGTCACTGAACAACCCGTACAGCATCTGCTGGGGCGCCCTGGACAGGGAGGACATGCACTTCATACTGCAGACCCTGGAGGACAGAATTCAGTCTCTCGGGCTTCAGAAGATTGAGGATAGGAAGAGAAAGAAAAAGCAGCCCCCTTTGAAAAAACAAAGCGGAGACATGAGCAGCATAGACGTGGACACTGGTGAGGATCTGAAGAAAGAAAAGCCCAGAGGTGATGCCACGGTGTCAGGGTGGACCCCGGCTGATGTCAGGAAGCAGCTTGCTATCGGCATCAACGAGGTCACCAGAGCGCTAGAGAGGAACGAGCTGCTCTTGGCCTTGGTGTGTAAGTCTGCCAAGCCAGCCATCATGACCTCACACCTGGTGCAGCTGAGTGTCAGCAGAGGTGTCCCTGCCTGCCAGGTGCCCCGGCTCAGCGAGAGGCTCGCACCTGTCCTGGGCTTAAAATGCGTCCTGGCCTTGGGGTTCAAGAGGAACACTACTGCCTTTGGGGAGGAACTGAGGGCCATCCTCCCCAGAGTCCCCCGTCTGAATGTGGCATGGCTCCAGGATGCACTCGAAGACCCCAGGGAGAACCTGCAGACAGAATCTTTGGAAAGCCAAGATGAAGAGATTCTGGACACTTCCTTTGAAGACCTCTCTAAACCCAAGAGAAAGCATGCTGAGGGTCAGCAGGCTGTAGTGTTACAACCCCTGAAAATAAAGAAACTGATTCCAAACCCCAATAAGATAAGAAAACCACCCAAAAGTAAAAGAACAGCTTCAAAGTAATCTTGTATAAACCTGTCACTTGATATATAGAGTCATAGATTCATTGATAAGTTGTAAATGACACCTCATTAAGAAGCCTTGACATGAATAAAATGACTTTTACATATATTTTTGGGACTGTTTAGTGTCATTCCTTTCACATGTGTAAAATTTTTTGTGACTGTGGAATACAGATATGCTGAAGCTTAGAAATACCAAGTGCAGAGACTGTTCAGAAGCATGAATATCAAAACAAAGCTTTATTGAAACGAAGGTCCAGGCTGGTATAAATTCACCTTTTAAAGGGCTGGTACAGTGCTTATGAGCAAGAACATCTGTATCCTGCAACACTGAACATCTTTCCATCCAAACTTAGAAAACGTGCCACACAAACACAGTTCCAGTTGAGGGGTGGATTGGGGGGGGGGGGGGGGGTGATGAGGCTAGACTGCAGTACCATCCATGTAGGGGAGATACTAAATGCTGAGCAACATACTTCTCAGAAGGAATACGTTATTTTTACTGTCAGTTTGCCTTTCTTGTAGGTATGGGCTTGGGGGAAAGGCTAAACATAGAAAATGCCAAGTAAGCTATTTTGACTAGAATTCACCACTTTATATGGTTAACTTACTTCCTTGGAATTTTATTATTTTCTCCCCTTGGAACTTTAACATGTATAGAAAGTATGATGGAAATAGGTGAAATGAGGCAGGGAGAGAATAAAAAAGTAAACGGAGGAGCCTGTATGCTCCGATGTGGGTCTGTCGTGACAGGGTCATTTGTGTTAGTATGTGGAGCATAATTGATGCTCTGAGTGAAAGCATTGCTATTTATAGTGTTGTTGTTTGTGAAAGGTATTTTCTGTAATTTACAGGGAAAGAATTGGGTTAAGGTTTATTTTCAGCCTAAATTTTGGTTGATCTGTGGATTATGCCACCTGTTTCTTAAATTGACTGAATGTCATCCTGACCAAAAAGGTGGTGGGGGGAGGCAAGGATATGTCATGGACTGGAGCATTTCCACTGCTGACAAAGGACACGGGATAGTGTGGTTTTTTGAATCTATGACTCTATATATTACATTGAAACTTGGTTCTATAATAACAGCTATTTTATAAACATGAGCTGTTTTACTGATTTTCTATTTTAAAATGCTCATTGGTAACAAGTTTACATTATAAAGAGATGGATGTGCTAGTCATTTATTAACTACTGAATTTAAAATGAGTAAAAAGATATGAACCCTATAACAACTACTATCTAAGTGAATAGAGTAACTGCCACAGTTCCATCATGAGGTGAGCCTGTACAAAATTTCTGAGTGGCAATCAAGTGATTTTTTGAAAACCTACTTCATATAAGGCTGCCATAAAAATGAGTGGGACATGATTCTCAACTGGAACCTCTTCTGCAGATTAAGTTAAAAATCTCATTTACTTAATTCTGGTGTTTCAGTGAATTGGTTCACTTTTGCTTTTGAAGCCATCCTGCTCCTGTTAGGAAAAAAATGGTAGTGCAACTGGCTTTGAATCATATATGAGATCTAACCTTGGGCCTTCAAGGAGGAAAACAGCACTTGTCCTCAATGAGAGAGGACTTAGGGGGCCCACGTGCACCCCCTAGTGGAGGTCCCAGGGCATATTCTTGCCTGGAGAATCCCATGGAAGGAGGAGCCTGGTGGGCTACAGTCCAAGGGTTGCAAAGACTCAGATAGGACTGAGTGACTTCACTTTTTTCACTTTCTAGGGGGCCCACGTGCACTCCTTAGTGGAGGTCCCAGGGCATCACAGCTGTGAGCTGGCCTACCGATGACCAGAAGCTTTAGAAATTTGCTTTCAGCTCCTTAAGGGAAATCAGGGGCAACAGAATTTGTAAATCTGTTAGGCTTTGGGTTCATAGTCTCTGTCAGAACAGTTCTTAACTCTGTATTTTGTAGAGTAAGGCAGCCACACACAGGCAATACAAATGAATGACCATGGCCATGTTCCCACAACACTTTTATTTATGGATGCTGACATCTGAATTTCCTGTAAATTTTGTGTCACAAAATGTTATTCTTTTGTCTTTTTTTTTTTCTCCCCAACCATTCAAAAAAATATAAACACCACTCTTAGCTCCTGGGCTGTACAGAAGAAGGCGATGGGCTGAGTTTAGTTCACGGGCCACAGGTTGCCAGCTCCTGCCTGGTATAAGGTATGATTGTTTCCTTTGACCACGTATAACATGAAGGAAGGCCATCCTGTTGTCTAAGGGAACTAGATGTTTATGGACCGAATGGCCGAGGCACTGGTACATAAAGGCAGGAAGTATCTACTTTGTGGTATTTGAGTCAAGGCCAGTCGAGGTGGCCTCATCCAGCATCTTTTCCCCTTGGACTGTTGGCAATATATATACGTATTTATGCACACTGAGAAGTTTTTCAAATCCTAGGTAAAAACACCATCAGTAATAAAACTATGAGACTTATTTACAAATAAGACATCTTCCTAGGGCAGGACAGCTTTCATGGTAAGTTAGAGTCAGTGTATAGGAATATGTGCAATTCTGCATAAGTAATAAAAAACATTCAAACTCTCAGTGTCCTGATGGCACTAATGAACTCCTCTGGGCATGTATTCTGACTTGCGGGCTTTGATTTCCTTTTCCTCACTAGAGGAACTAGAATCTGCGCAGGAGCAGAAGTCTGGTTTGGCAGGGGTGTACACTCTTCAGAGAGCACACTTCATGTCTGCCCCAAACCTTGCTTTGGAACCAATCCATCGTCCTGCTGGAGATCAAAGTACAATTTGTGTGTTTACTGATTTGGCAACTTGACTTCTTGAGGAATAAGAGAGTCCCAGGACATTGTTATCTTGCTCTTCGCTTTAACACCCACTGCGTGTCACCGAGTTACAGAAGTGCTGCTTCCAATGAGATCGTGTACGGTGATGTAAGTAAACAGTTTCCGAGTGGCTCCCTCATTCTGCTACGTGGATCCACAGACCATCACTTCATAAACAGAAAAGCAGCAGTTTATTTCCACACAGTGGCAAAGATTTTCTGACACAATTCTGTGACTTCTGTTCAGTTCATAGAAAAGGGGTCCCTTTTCTAGAGAGAGGAAGAAACACCTTCGTCTTCATCAAGAGACAGCCAGAAGGCTGAAAACCAGAGGAATGTGCTCTTTACCCTCTTTGCATCCCCCCTACAAATGGGTCAACAGTGGGAAAAAAGGATGGATGTTAATGTCAGCTAGAAATGTGTTCTACATGTGTGGTCACAAATGGATGCTTTTCCATCTCTTCTGTTACTGACACTTCGATGTCACTTAAGTTGTGCTTTTATTCTTCTTTGGAATGGCAGTTCCAGGAATCTTTAACTAGGGTATTAACAAATGATGATGTCAGAGTTCTAGAAATATCAATAGAAATATCCATCTACTGTAATACGAGTCCAACCTAAAGGGAGGGAAAAGATGGAATAGTAAACACAAGTGAGAAAGAAAAATGATAATTAGTATAATAGATGTATATTTTTATTTTATTCTTTTATTTTTTATTATTAAATTTTTTTTTTGGCACGTGGGATCTTAGTTCCCCGACCAAGGATTGAACCTCTGCCTTCTGCCGTGGAAGTGTGGAGCCTTAACCACTGGACTGCGAGGGAAGTCCCATAGATGTATATTTTTAAAAAGCTACTAAAAACAAAAAAACTAAAAACCTCTCAACACTCTGATGAGAAGCAAGTATGAGGTTTTGCAGGTTAAGTTTATCAAGTTTACAAAGACTCATCAACTTCACTCACCTTTTCAGACTCTGTCCCTGGACACCTCCAGTTGTACAAGTAATACTGTAAATTGCCATCGCCTATGCCAAACTTGAGTTTTTCCAAGAATGTCTTATTTTCCATCAAATCTAGTGCATTGAATACATCAAATCCTTTCTGTCAATGTAAAAAATTTTTTAAAATGTTAAAGCATTAAAAGTTTAGAGTATTTTGTATATGATGTATTTCAGTATAACATTTCATTCTCCCACTAGTAGCTTGAATTGAATATGCATTTATAATGAAGTTTAATGTCTGCAATATATACAATGTGTTAATAATTCAGGTCACAACTATCTTATTAAACTAGCAAGCAGTGAATATGATGGAATCAACAAGATTTTCCAGAAATGCTGAATCAAAAAATATAGTCTGATGGCTCATAGTGACAAAAATATTAAGGTTTCAAGAAATGTTTTGCCCCAGTTTTTGAAGGAAACAGTTGTCTAGATGGCCCCATCACCAGAACTGTTAGTTACTGGCCTTTCTAAGTTCTGACTTATCTGAACCTACAGCCAAGAAACCAAACCTGTAAAGACTTGAAATTGTGTATTTGTCTTGGGCTAATACTGGGAAATAAATTTAGTTACATTTTAATAGTAAAAACAATAAAAAAATACTAGTTGATACTATGCAAAATGTGACACAGATGAAGTACCTACATTTCTATTTCTCAGGGGTTTTACTTTAAATAACTTATTACTGGCCTTTTTGGGGGGAGGTAGTTGAAAATGAGCTACAAGATCAAAGAATCAAAGGCAAATGCTGATTTTGGGGTCCACTGCTAATAGATTAAAAAAAAAATGTTTCCAATGATCAAATACTAGAAGAATACAAGGAAAACACTTTTGATGTGTAGCTCCCGATTTCTCACAGGCAATATTTTCTCATTCAGTACTTATATCCAAATATTTACATCTGCTGATTTCTGTTACCTCTGAAAAGAAAATGTTTTATTTGTAGCAAGAATTTAACAATCATCCTAACTACTATACTGAGGAAGTAAAAAATAATGCAAATCCATTAAGGCACATTTTGAATTTAATTCTTTTCGTTTTAAATACTCTTAATAATTTTATTAAATTTCTTAATTTTAAAATTCACAGACTATTTAGTTGAATAAAAAAACTTGCTACTGCCAGTTATTCACTGTAACACAACACATTTCCCCCATACAGACAGATCTCATTTTATTGTGTTTCACAGATTCTGTGTTTTTTACAAATTGATGGTCTGTGGCCACCCTGCACTGAGCAAGTCTGTCAGGGCCATTTTTCCAATTGAATCTGCTCACTTCATGTCTCTGTTCCATTCTGGTAATTATTG